CTTTTTTTTGTAATTTAAGTTGGCCTTTGTTTTCTATTATGACTTCTAATATGTAATAATCTCTATTATCGAGAAATTTCTCCGCCACGTGGTCTATAACCTCAATTTCTCTTACCTCGCTATCTGCAGGAAGGTTCGGATTAGGAGAAATGTCTTCTTCTTTTCTTTTTCCACCCTTATCTTTGTTTAAATCACTTGATTCTATAAGTTTAGACCTTTGGTCTTTGCTTCTTCTCGCTAAATCGATTACTTCACTTACTTGCTGCGTATTCACTAGATACTACACTACACACTAACTTATTAGCTAACTAAACCTAACGTGTCGCGGACCCGTCTAGGGACCTTTTCGCCACAAGGGAGGTCCTAGTATTGCCATCTTACGGGATTTACTACAAACTAACGTCTACTATCATCTATCCTCGGTGATACCGTTCAGCATCGACGAGTGTTCTAATTTTTATTTCTTACTTCGGTGGCAATACATTCTGAACGACTTAAACCCATCGCACAAGTCCTCGTGCCACACGAAGTCTCATAAATTTGCCACTCTTTTGCAACTTGTCCTCGGTGGTAATTTCTCCTCGGTGATAACATCGGAAATGATCTGCACATGATAAGATTCAACTCAGAGTAACCAAGCAGAATAGATTCCTACAAAATAGACTGCTGTATGTCCCGCGGTGAAACATTTTCCAGAATTGGCCTGTTGGCGCAGCACTTGGACAGGAATCGCGAAATTCCCGGGCGTGAGCACTCTCGTTTCCTCTCTACTACCGGCTTGCATACCATATAATTATAGCACCCACGTTGACAGACAGTGAAGCTCCGACTGCGGCCGTGTGTATATGCGTGTGTAGGTTGGCTTGGCTCAGTGCTACGCACACGGAAAAGAAACGCCATCAACATCTCTCAGTGGTGAGTTTATAATATTGTGTCGTGTTCACTCACAATACCTACTAGGATAACTCCTATTATTGCTTGCACTCACGCTTCGTTCTCTTGAAATCCATTGATTCACCTGATACAATATTTTCCATCATTCTTATCGACGATCTGTGTATACACACATAGCTTACGGCGTCGTATACATATGCAGTTCAGTGAAAGTGCATGGCGAGTGAACAAAAGCTACTAGCGATCATTCGTGTTCGTTAAAACAATTTGTGACTGTGCATTGCAATTGTTAACCGTTGTACAAATATAATTGTAAGTCCTCGCATGGAAGTGCATTGTCCCCACGAAATAACACTAATCAATTTTAGGTTATCAAAAATATAGACTGCATACAGTCACTGCGAATTTATCTGCAAACGAACAATTTGTGTTATATTCATTTGTGTCATTTATCTGGAATATATTTTTTTTAATTAAAATTTCACTGCTGATTTTCATTCTCCTACACCTCAATCCCTATCTATAATATATTATTTCCGCATACCTCATTTTTATACCATTTTTATGTAATGCCATTTATTATACTTGCATAAGAATTTACATTTACTAATGACCGTCCACGAAGTAGCTTCGTGAAACTATTTTAAAAAATTGATGAATATGCGTAATGTAACAGTATGATAGAAAATTGAGCAGTTAATTTAATTTTGAGATGCATTTCGAATGCCCTCGCATGATGACGATGACTATATTATACGTGCACTTAGCAGACACGTTTTTAACCAAAATTAGACGCGCACTGGGGAAATGAGAACATGGTAGAAATTTTCTTTCCGGGAAATTGCTTTTACTGAGACCGTGGGCTTTGCAAGAAATAAGTATATAATACGTTTATTGAAAGAGCATCGTGACAAGATACGCCGCGACGCATTTCGAAAAAAATGTGGTCTATTCCAACAGCTATTATGCAACTCGAACTATTTTCTACATATTTATAAGTTTCTATGTGGAGAGTTCTGAAAAATCCTCAATCCTGTCTAAACTTTGCGTCAAAGCACGTGGTATTAACGTAAGCTGCACTATAACGTGATTGTGTACATACAAAGAATACGTGCTTACCTGCCTACTTAAAAATCGATCACCGAGTTTTCAAGGTTCTTATACTATCTAGTCACACTGTACTATCCAATTCATGCGGAGTTTTTCGTTAATATCAAGTGCTACCAAGATGTTTTAACAGGATGCTTCGTTAAAAGTTAATTAACGTTATATGTAAATAAAAGTATAAAAAGTAGTTGTGCAATTACTTCTTTGCCTGTTAAACTCGAGCAAATAATTTACATTATCGTACATGCATATTTTTAAACCAATGATATACTTAAACTTTTTCCTTAAAAAAAAAAAAAGAAGCCTAATCTATGTTAGAAGATACTTTATTCGCGATTGTCGGCAATTTGTTCGCAGCGCTGAAAAACATGCTAAGAGAGGAAATCGGGAATGGACCCGACACAAAAGCTCCTGGAGCAGCAGGCGATGGTTCCGGCGCATACTCTCCCGGTGATTACGAGAGCGATGTCAGAGCGAAGGAGTTTCTTTCAACGGAAAGAACCGGAAGGCGGAACGCTCTGACAGACCTCCTGGATCATCATCATCACGTCGAAACTGGGACGCTAGATTTGCCAAATCGTTTCGAGAAACTTACCGTGGAGACAGGTTAGCCATGTGAGCAGTAATCTATCTTAATCATTATCCGTAGCGAGAACGTCATAATGTATACATATGTACTTGTTCTTCGAAGAATGAATCGTGGCTTTTTATTAGATTTGTAGCATTTAGTAAACTTTTTTTTAAGAACGTTTACAATTTTTTTGTTCGCTTTACTTAAACATTTTTTGCTCGTTTCAAGCGAATGAAATGTCTTTACAACTGACGTGTCGACTCGTACTTTTATATCAATCGATTCTTAGCGTTTTAAAAAATCGAAATAAATGAAAGAAGAGATATATTTATTAATCGTTTATACATATATTGTATTTGAATGCGTCGATGTGAAATGAATATTTTATGGAAAATAACAATGAAAGGAATACCGTGCAGTATATAAAAATGCAAATCTTGTTGCGAAGAAAAGGCTCGCCTTTCTATTCGTTTGGAAATAATTTAATTTCGTTTCTATATTAAGCACGTTCATCGTTTGCATTTTCCTCGTCATATTTTTTCGTTGTTATTCAAATTAGTTAAGATCATGCAAGTGTATGTGTTTGCGTTCACATGACTGACCGACGCGACGATGCGTAGAATGTGTTAATGAAGGCGGATTAAGTGTCAAGCAAAGGAGACTGATGACAACTGTCCATTACCTGATTAACGCATTCGCTGCAGCTACTTTTACATACGCTAAATAGCTGTATAAAATCGATTAAATAAAACAGAACGTAGTACATGCAACCCTTTGGATTCTGCCGATCCTTCAGTACAGGCTCGGTCTTCATCAAGATTTTGTATTGCATTTGCGTTGTGTTTTATTAAGGATGTATTGGCTATACAGTCAATCCCAAAAGTTTATGTAATATGAAATAAAAGTTGTTTTCCTTCTAACTTCGATATTTAACGAGTTACGTATGATTATTTGGCATTTTATTGATGTTGACAAAATCCGACCATCCCAGCGTCGAAACAGCGAACTTTTGGAAAAAAATTTTGTTTTTCCTCAATAACTCCTAAACC